TCTTATTGGTTAAACGCCTTGAAATTCTATTGGCACATTAACTTTAAGTCATCTCAAAAAGATGACTTAATTCTGTTTTAATTTTTCTGGCAACTTCATTGGTTAATTCAGTTTTAATTCGCGTAGTCTGTCTGAGGCCTAATATTAAGTAGTATGTTAGAAAAGAGACAAAAAAACACCAATCATTGTCAAATTGAGAATGCACTAATGCACTTTGGAGCATAATACTATATCAATTTTTCAAAAGCTCTCCTTAACATCAAATGTTCTTGGATATGAGACAATTTTTTTGATGTAGTTAGATTTTCCGGCCCCTGCTTAGTTTTCGAGAAAATCGCCTTTAATATAGACCAACCAGAAATTAGAGAAGGGTTCGACCAATAAGAAGTGAGACAATCACACTGACGAAAGTATAATGGTGAATTTTAGTCATTGTCCAATTGAATAGTCATCGTTGCTTTATATATGTATTGAGTTAAACACGATCAGTATTTCTAATGGAAATCTAAAATAAAGTGCACAGTACACGCTGTGTTAAATGAGTAAAGTGTACATTTACACTTATTTTCATAAGCAAAGTGTACACAATGTACGATGTTTACGTTGCATATCATAAAAAGAGTGGAAAAACATCTTCAAATCTGTTTTATCGAGTAAAAGTTAGAGAATAATAACAGATACGTAAATAGAAAGCAAGGTAAAAGCAATGTGTGTGTGATTCATTTAGGACGATTCACTACACGAAAGTGTCGTATTAGGAAAGCATATCAGGATAAGAGCCTTGATTTATTATTTTTGAAAACTCTAAGTAAACAGGAAACCTATAAAAACTGTCATGATCCTCTGAATCATCACGAACAGGGATGATTTGAAGAAAACTAAGTTGAATATTGCATTTTTTTTATTTTTTTTTTCTGTAGCTATTACATCAGTATCGAGAACGACTTAATATAAATCTGAAAAGAAAAGAAATTACGAAGAGAAAGGATGTCAGTCAACGCATACAGAAGATGAGCAAGAGAACAGAATCAGATCATTGTTTAGATATAATTTTTGAACTAAAAATGCATTCAAAATCTCACTTGCAAAGTGTACAATGTACACTCTGTTTTTTTAAGACAAGTGTACAGCAGCGTGTATTTTAGATCCTGCAAATGTTTGTACATTTTGCTTCTGCTGTGTACACTTGCCATTAGAAACCCTGAACACGATCAATCTTATTTTTTTACTAGTGTGAATAACAACAAGAAATAAAATACCTGTAGTACTCCGAAAAGAAAATGATTATTATCTACCACTTCGGTATAAATACACATCATGCATATATTTATATAAGTAACATCTATCTTTTTTTAGAGCATCGCTAAAAGTCTGGGACAATTTTCATCTCCATTATTACACTCAACACCACAAACGTATATGACAAACAATACAGCTTCAGCAATATTTTTAATTATAACATTTTTACTATATACGTTTTTATTTTTTTTTGCTGTTTCTGTTTTAGAAAATATCTATTGAACCATCAAGATCCAAAGTTAAACTAAGAGCTCATTTTCGAAAAAATTATGGTACACCACTAAAAGATTCTCAATACAAGCAATATTTTTTTTTGTATTTGTCTTTCTATTTTTCTATAATTTATTTATTTATTGTACCTTTTTTTGTCAACTGAAAACCATATATTTAAAATAAATATAGAGATGATAATCTTTAATATTGAAAATTCATTTAAATTTGGCAAATATTCGACTATTAAGAATAGTGGCGTAACTAGGGGTGGGCATGGCCGGGCGCCGCCTGGTCACCAATAGTTTTTGCCCGGGCACCGGTCAAAAGAAAAATTACATCTCTCATCGGAACATCTTTTGTCGCATAATCAAAAGCACTGAGAACCATTCGTAAGTCTTACAAATACGATAAAAACTAGACACGTTGATGAGTAGGCAGTATTTGTTCTCTGTTTACATGGTCCGTTTTCTTTTTTCTGCTTGATTTTATTCCACAAAAAGAAAATACATTTAGGACTTCGAATATGCCTTGAAGTTTAGGGCAGACAATTCTCTATTTTTTTTTTGCATGTTTTCGAGAGAATGGACCACTTTCCAGCTAAATTTGAGAACCGAAAACGGAAAAATTGAGAATTTCTTGATGACAAAGCTAAGTTTCCTAGAGAAGAAAGTGGATCCGATTTGTGAAATTGGTGAGTCCAGAACCGCCCAAACTGAAAGAAGTGTAGAAATGGCAGTCTTCCTCTCCGTTGATGGAAACTTTTCGATTTTTATAGGCGAAATTCTAGAATATTACTGTTGTTTTGAAGAATTTTACGTCTTCTCCTCGTCAGTTCTCGAAATTACATCGACTTCCTCCCAGTAAAAAGAATTTCAATTTTTTTTGAAAATTTATTTCGACTTTCTCCTTTTTCCTTCGCAAAGTTGACAAAAAACGCTGTAGTTTCGGTGAAAATTTGTGAAAATTTTTCAAAAAATTCCCCAATTGATCATACAGATCGTCGGTCCTCCCTCGACTTGAATGCTTATAGGCAACCCTGTTCTTGAGCGAGAAAAATGAAAGATTCTGAAGCTCATTCAGTAAAATTTGTTCAAATTGGGTTGTGTCACCACTCTTACTTCTCCTAATTTACGCAGCCTTGGACATATTCTGCTCTCTTTTTAAGAGAACAATAATTGTGAGGATTAATCACTCTTTGATGGAAATTTTGACTACTGTTAATTAAATTTTTGAAACACTGTGGGGCACCGCCCGGGCACCGGTCATTTCCTGGTTACGCCACTAATTAAGAGGATCATTACTTCTAATTTAAGTGCAGTCGTATCACATTTGTTTCACTTTATCGATAGCTCTATGTTGGTTGGTTATTTTATGTGAGTCATAAATATAGGTTCTCTATTGGTCACCTTAAATCGGTTATTTCAGGGCTTAGACAATTTTTTTTTGAAACTGAAAGCGCAGATCGACATAAAATAATTTTCTCTATCTACTGATATCAATTAGAAGTTCGGACTCTTCCAAAATATGTATAGTGCATTTTGATATTGATTGGCTTAAAACAACGACTTTTGTGCACTGAGATGGTGTACTATAAGATGAGCTGCATATCGTTGTGTGTGCAAACAGAGTCGCCATTGTTTTAAAAGCGTTCCACTATATTTGTACGTCGTGAACGTCGTGGAAGCATAGCCCAATCGGATCATTCAACCGGATTAAAACAATTAATGATTCTATTGGGTGATTCTTTAATCAATAGATATCGTTAAATTTGCAAAACACCATTAAAGAGGAGCACAAAATAGATATATATATTTTGGAAATGGTCGCCTTAATGATGATATATTTGAATTATACTTTTCACTTAAATTTTTTTCAATTAAATGATAATTAGCATTTTTACTTAATTACTGGCATTTTTATTATGAATGAAAAACATAAAAATAAGAGTAAATAAAGATATAGAGTAAGCAAGGATAAATGTATAGACAAAATCAGTGAGCTTTAATATAATGACTATCACTTTTTTATTTTTGCTTTTTTCAAAGAATTTTCTTCACAAGATTTCTAGTTGAACACTTTCTGTATCTATTGATGAAACTCTCATATCAAAATATTGGAAGTATACCTATTTATAAGATGTTCTTTATGCAATAGTTTTCGATTATATATTTACTCCATTTGGGTCTAATCTATAAGCATGCTGGCATCATTAGGGTAAATATATAATCTCAGCAGATTTTGCTGGATACACTAAAACTCAATTCTTAGATGATCCCTATGAAATTTTAAGGTACTCTCTACACGGAAATTGTTCACAATAATAAGGTTAACAATTCTAATACATTTCTAAAAATCTATTTAAAAATTTTGAATGTAATTCTATCTGTTGCACCGAAACGTACGATTAACTTCGACGTTTTTTCTTTCGGTCTTTTTTTATACCATTCGGTTTCTCAATGTAGCTGATTAGTTTGTTTCAGACTTCGAGTACTCGACATAATATGGCTTCAGATTCTCAACAAGTATTTCTCATAAGTATTTAAGAAATTCATTCGAGACTCATTTATAGAATTGATAATTTTTAAAATATATAAAAATACCTACATGAAATGAATTATAAATGATGAAAGTAATCGAAAATTAAGTCTATAAATACATAGTATTAAGTAGCAGCATTATTCATTTACTTATTCGAATACGAACAATTGAAGACACGAATTACTACGAGGCTTCTTTCATTTGTTTGTGTTATTTTTACCGGTGGTCAATTATGAACATATCCATTATCTACAGATCTTCTTTGTATGTTCTGCCATAGATCATTTAAAATAAAAGAAAAGAGAGAAAATAGACCATTAAATAATATTCACATATAGGATTTATCGAACAAATAACAATCATTCACAAAACGTAAAGAGTTCATTTCAATTTTCTTCTTCTTCTTAATCATCAAAATAGTGTAGTGTATGAAAGATTGAACACAAAATAATGGAAAAACAAGTTCATTTTGAAAATATTATAAAACAATCTATTCATTTACAAGAACAAGGAGAATGAATGACTATTGAACAAATCAAACAATCATTTGATTCTATTATAAGAAAAATCGACGAAAATAATAACTTATTATCAGATAAGTAATTTATGAAAAAAATTCTAGAATTAGCAATTCATTCAAATGAAAAAAATTTATGCGATCCTACTATAATTAATCATCGTATCTTTTTTATCTTACGTGATTATTATTTAGATCTTATACAACGTTGGCTTTTTGATGAAAAATTCGATGACATATCTTGTTTTTATATTCGAAAAAAATTTCGAATTTATTTCTAAGTAATGTCAAAAGTCATATATCAGATAGTAGTATATCGATATTAAAAGAATTAATTTTTCATGAAACACTTCTCAAGTGAAATAAATCAATTTTTTAAAGAATTATCAATGAATGGTAAATATTTACAAGATCCTCAAATAAAAAGTATTGATAATTTATTACGAACAATTCAACGTCTTGAACGAATTAATTTTGATGATAAAAAAGATGATTTATTGAAATATTTCTTCAATCTTTAAATCAAGAAAATGATGATGTTGGACAAAGATTTTTATTAAATACATGTACAGATTATATTTATTCTCATTCAACTGATAAACAATATAAACAATGTTTAATTGATATTCGTCAATCACTTCTTCGTCCATTTACTGAATGGTTAATACAACAATCATCATTATTTCGTTTATGGAATAATCGAATGATAATTAATTTACGTCAAATTTGTTTTTTATTAATTCAACTTAATCGATTTATTATTCTTGATATAATGATATATTAGAATATTACAGGAGTCGCAGCGGCCTATGTCTCAAAATCAGGAAAATAGGTAGGACACTTCGGTTAAAAAAATCAGGAATTTTGGTAAAAATCAGGACATTACATATTGATTCTAGTGTCGACAGATCAAGTGTGACTGGACTAGTTGGAGTGTCTTGTCTATTAGTGGTTCCACAGGTTGTTTCATTCTCTCCCTTTTTCTTCTTTTGTCTTTCGAAGCTTTCTTCGCATGTTTAAAAAAAATCTCGATCGTATATCGTTGTCCACAAATGTATTTCTTTAGATAACTACTGCGAATTTCGATAAAGACTATCGTTGTACCAAATTATTTCTCAAAGAAGGTAACGCAAACATACGTCTATAAGTATTTGATCTTCGAGTCTCGTACAAATCCCCTACAGTTATAAGATCCTACTCTTTGGTACTAAAAAGTGATCGTATTCGAAATTTTGATATCTGTTCAATGTAAAAGAAAGTAGACATCAAGCCTTTCGCCATTGAAGGCGGCTACACTCTGACTTTTTATTGGAAACCCTGGGTCGAACCTGAAAGAAAATGGTAGTTTCTCTCTTCTTCAATGTCACTTTAAATGATGAAATATATATTATAATCAAAGCCGAAATAAAAGGGATCATTAGCCAAGTTAAAATCAAAAAATTCTGAGCCAAAATCGGTTTTATTCAATTCATTTTTAAAAACTCGAATGGAATTTGATTTGATTCGATTTCATCCGATTTAAAATCGAAGAAGAAGGATAGCCAATTTAAAAGATTATTTAAAATCTAGTTTGCCAAGTGGAAATTTTGCAAAAGTACAAAAAATTGTATTTAAGAAAAGTTTTCTAAGAAATTCTCTTCCAACAGTAGAAAAATAATGTTAAAAGATAGCCTTCTATCAACTATCTATATCGACGGAAAAACGACTCATCTTCTACCACCAGTCATTGGACGAGTACAAGTACAGCAAGTATAAGTAAAATACTAGATAATTAAAAAATGTACTTTGTACTTTACTTAGATACTTTTTACTTAAGTAAATTTTATTCAGTAGCTGTACTATGTAGGATTATACTCAAGTACAGTAAATTTAAGTACATTAGAGTACTTATAGATATAATGAAGCGGAGCTGTACATTTACCATATTGATATCGATATTGGGCCTCAAGATAGCTTCATCTGCCCCTGTGGAACGTGTTTTCTCATGTGCTGGTCTTACTTTGTCTTCACGACCCATCAGATTAAGTGAACCATTATTTAAAGATTTAGTACTTTTGAAAGCTAATCAAGCTTTATTATGAATTGACCCATTAGTTTTTTGTTTGCATAAACTGCTTCTTATATTAGATATTATTAATGGCGTTTATTTTTTACTATTAACTTGTATTATTTTTTTTTTTTTGTAAGAAGTTATTTATCAGTCAATTCTTGACTTTTTCTTATGAAATAAAGTTTTTTAATTATGAATTAGAATTAATTGCATTGTCTTTTCATTCCATATTTCAATAAAATTATATTTAAAATTACTTTTAGATGTCCATCCACAAAGAAGTTTCACAAATGGGGGTCCATCTTTATTCAGAAAACAAGTCTCACAAATAGATACCATAAAACAGCATTGATATAACTAATCAACACTGATGACCAAGGAAAATTCAAAAGACATGAATTTATAGTGTGTAGGTTAAAATATCACGAATACTTTGTAGATATTTCTGAGAATACAAAGTAGTAATATATAAGGATATTGATATCTGATTAAAGTACATTTTGTACTTAAAATANTTTTGTCCTTAAAATAGTGGGGAAAACCTTTCCTGATTCATTTTATACCTAAATTTAAAATTTAAATATCTCCCTCTAGACAAGTCAAGGGGAGCTAATATTTTAACCTTGTTAGTTTGGTGGTAAGAGCTTTCATTTGACCCGAATATGTGCCACTTTTCCGACCGACAATACACATACCTCCATTGTCAGAATTAAAGAAAAAGTATTCTTAAATAAACTCCCTCCACCTAGAATAAATGGCCATGATCTTTTATTATGGAAATTCGCATCGCTTCTCCAATGATGGCCTTATATTACGATCCAGTTGTTTTTCTAACATTTATCTGGAAAACCAAGAGTTCTTAAAAAATTTGATATTATAACAGGCATTTTTACCAACTAAGTACCAGAAAACTAATATTTTCATTAGGAAAAGCATTTTCTCCCTTTACCAAAGTTCTGTGGACAAGAGAGTGGCAAGAGTTATAAGATAATATTGGTAGAATAGGTATTCGATATCCTTACGAGTGAAATGAAGTGACAATACTTTAGCAGACTTTTCTGAGGGATGATTCAGACACTAAATTTTTATGAAAAAAAAGACAACATGTCAAGTTTTCCTAGAAGCAATCAAATATTGCTAGATATAAAAGAAATTTTTGTTGAACTGTCTTCATATTTTCACTCATGTTTTATAAAATGAAATAAAAAAAACATACAACTCAGAGAAATAGATAGGTTAGTTTTATAGGGTTAAAAGTGTTTTATTTTACTTTAGGAATCAAAACAATGTTGAATTTCATCTTGTTTATACTCAAAGTTAAATGGAATTTTAGAATCCAGTGATGATTCATTGTCGACAAAAGATTTACAACAATGAAAAAGTCTTTCAAAAGATTTTTCAAAACTAATACATTCGACTGATCATGATGACTTCTCTTCACAAGCTCCAAAAGAGTTCGTTGAATATATCTTGTTAATTTTCAAACATACACCGAAAATACAAAAAAAAAACAAAAAATTGGATAATGAATCAAATACAATATGCTTGAAAGTAGAAGTCTTTGGCATATTGCTTTGTATTGAATATTTTTCGCAAGAATAGTGTTTTGAACGCAGCCCTATCGGAGCTAAAATATGGAACTCATGTATATCATTTTTGTCTCAATCATTCGATATAAATGTGTAAAATGAAAACTCTCTCATGAATTATAATTCTTTTCTAAAATAATCGATCATCAGAGCAAAAATCTCTCTTATTTATTTCTACATGCTCAAGAGAATTGTTTTTCTTTTTTTGGTCATCCTATTCTTTTTTTCTTTCTCATTGTTATTATTTTTTCTAATCAATAATTGTTTGTTAATATCTGTAATTGAGAGAACGGATGGAAAGCCGCAAAAACTCGGTCTTAAACTTACATTCACTATTTTCTTCAAAAATCACACAAGTGAGTTGTACAAAAAATAGATAAGTCTACTTGGTACTCTTTAATGAACATTTTTGCTCATGACATGAATTGTTTTAGTTTTAAATGAGAACTTCTTATGCAAATTTATTCAATAATAAGAAATCGATATGTTAAATGCTTAAAATTAAACAGAAAGAAAAATATAGAATGACCATCAAATATAGAACAATAAGCTATTGTAGTGCTGAACAGGCATCCACACTTTCAGCATAGAAAAGAAGTTTTGAACAATTATTAGAATATTCGAAACATGAAAGAAACTACATTTTTTTGTGAACAATACTGAATTTTCATGATATCAGATACGATGATAAATTTTATCACTTAGAATAATTCTTTATATGAGGTTTTAACACGAGAAAACAACAGTGACCTACTATTTGTAGACTTCAAATTAATAAAGATATTTATTTTTTAATTTTGAGTTTAAGCCAATACTAAAAATTAGACTGTTGTGGTGACTAACCTAAATGATGCAGTTCATTTTAAATCTTACACTATTGTAATATATATGTAGTAAGTGGATGTTATTTTATAGGAATCTACGATTAGGATATGTCAAACTTTGTCAAAAATAATCATAGGATCTTATTCAATCTGTGAAATAATATCTGAAGACATTCCCAACTGATCTTAATAGTATAATTTGTCACAAACTCCAATTCTACTTACTTTAGATTTTAGTTGAACTCGTTTAACATTTATGAATTTCATACAACTGGATGAAAACGTGACATTGACATGTATGCATCATAGGTTTTTTGCTCCGCTAATCGTCAATTCGATATTTGACTACAAAAAATTTAATATGAGTTTTGCTGGCAAATTAAAACATCAATACTAGAAATATCAGCTCGAAAAGAACTTAACTTTGCTTGTTTTAAGTGCTTCCGCTAGTTTTTAGACTCCATTATCTTCAATTTGGTTGTTTTGAAGTATCACTGTAGTATCTGTATTAAAAAATCGAGATGAGTTGGAGCCAACAATTAATTGTTTCTATCCCGTCGTTCTCTTTATCATACTGAAGATAAATTGAAATGTTTTATTATTTATTGTCCTTAAATATCTTCAATAAAATCTCTCAAATACTAACAAGTTGTCATGTATATTCTCATTCGTTCGAACTAATTTTTTTCCTAAAAGGTTCATCGTTGAATTCAATACAGAACTGATGTCAAAAAGTTCATCTTGAGAGAGTTGATAGAAAAACGTTAACTATAATATTTTTTTTCTTTTCATATAAATCAAAATTCATTCATATGGAATTTCGAATTGAATTAGTTGAGTTTCTACAATATTGTTCAAAATAAATAAAGCGTACTGGATTTCTTCAATTAAACAAAAGAAAACAAAATGTTTACGTAAATCAGATTTTATTTCTTCAATTGATACAACGATTCATTTTCATAAAAATAAAACAAACTGAAATTCAAAAGCATTCATTCATAAATGACAATCACGGTTTCAGATGAACTAAGGAAGATGATCGTCTGCTCAAATGCTGAGCAATTTTAAGAACGAAAAGAACTAGTCGCGTTTTTCAGAAATTAGTATCAGTCTGAATAATTTCGCTCTTTATTAAGGTGATAAGTTACAGATACCGAATTGAACTTTTAATGGTTTATTTTCCAATCTTTGATTTTCTGGAACTGAAATCATGAAAAGAAGCAAAATGTATTCTATTTTGCAGTAAAAAATGATTTTTTTAAGGAAGATTTCTGGTAGAGCACTATATATGAATTGATCAAAATACAATAATAATTTTAGAACAAAAAAAAAGATAGACTATCAACGATGAATAAAATACATAATAGGATTTGAAAGTTTCATAGAGAGTCGTTCTATGTTTTTAATTCAATTTGATACGATTTGAAATATTTGATTTGATGAATCTCTCGAAAGTTAAGTAAATGTTATGAGACTTTCAAAATTCTGAAACTCTTCAGCTAATGTTACCATTCAAATTAAATAGATTTTTCTAAATCAAAGTAATTAATTTGTGAAAATATGAAAAAGATTATTATTATTTTCCATCAGAAGGAATCAGCATAAAAATTCTTAAATAATCTTCAACTCATGAAGTTTCTTTATGTTTTTCTAAGTCTCTTTTATATTTTATTTCGATTGAAAATATTTATTAGAAAGATTCCCAAAAAAACTGTTCCGATTTCGAAAGTGAATCTTTTTTGACGTTCTAAATACTCTTGTTCAATTTTTGTTTATAACTCTTGTGAGAATAGATGAAAACATTGAGACCTTCATTTATTTTGAAACATGTGTTAAATTCAAATAGATTTTAAAATTTTCACCAATGTTTCCCGGTAATTGATACAAGAAGTTCATTTTTCATGAAGAATGACCTGGTCTCAAGTCTTGTTGAAAAAGAAAAAAATCATGCTGTTTGAGTTATGGTTTTTCTTTATTCACTTTTATATCTCATAAGGAAAAACAAAGAACAACTGCTGATAGACAAATCAAGTTCAGAGTATAAAAATGTGAATTTTTGCTCAAGAATGCAATATTTAATTATATCAGGTTGTTTCTCAAGATTCTATTGAGGGAGAATTCGAGTCGAATAGTTGTTACTACTTTTCAATTTTATTTAAACGACATCTTCTGACTTAATTGATAATATATTTTGTAGGAACGACTTCTAAACTAACAACCCGAAATAATTCGGTTAAAGTTTTAATGAGTATTGTGATGAAAGAAGGATAATATTGATTTCAACGATTTTTTCTGGTAAACATAACAAGTTTTGTACGTTATCTATGGAAGATCTTAAAAATAAACAAAAGTGAAGGATAATCAAGAAAATTTCTCGAACATCGTTCCACATAGAAAAACTCGTGAGATAATAAAAATTACTGTTGATATCGGTAAAACAGTCAAAGAGAATTGAAATATTTCTTTTCGAAAGACCTGAATTGGTTTTCTCTTTAAAATAAATTTCAAAAAATCATAATCATCTCTTATAGATGAAGGTGTCAATCATCTTTTATACAGTTAAATGCAAACATCTTTTCTTTTCAATACTTCAAGTCATTTGTTTATTTCTTTTAAATAACCGTTTTATGATGTGTCAAGCTTTTACAAAGTTCAATAAACGAACCAAGGGATAAATCTAATTTAGTGTTAACACTCGAAGAAAATTCTTTTTTAAACGAAAATCTATTAAATAATATTAATGAAAATCAGATTATCATTAAAAAAAATATTAATATTCTAATTCATCGTGAAAATTACAGCAAACTATTTGAGAAAGCTTAGCTTATATTTTCGTAAATTTCCTCAGGAAAAAAAAGAAATAAAAAGTCTTTATGTGAACAGAAGACATTTAAGAATTTTGTCTTTAATAATCATTGAATAAGCGTTGAAATTTTTAAATTCAGAATGAAATTTAAACCATTGAAAATTGTTCATTTTGAATGATAAAGAGAAAAGTAGCCAAAGAAAATTATCGATTAATAAATTTTGAAATTAAATATTCAATTTTTATTTTTGATTAGAATTGATAGAAGAAATAGAATTATTTTTCATGAAAAAGAACAGAAGTTCTCATATGTCAAAATCGTTTCATTTTAATAAATGTTGATGGAATTACTATGGAAAATCATTTCTTTAGTCATTTTTGAATTATCAGTAAATATTTAGAAGAGTATTGGAAATGCTTCATGTTTATTGTAAGTGAAATTTTTATTAGTGACAATTGTTTATCTTTTTATAGATTTTCATATTCGAAAAGTGAAAAATCTTTGTTTGTATACGAGTTTGGACATTACACAATTCTTCACTATTTCAATATGACATGATGTTCAATTTAGATCTGAACCTAACGTCTAAATTTGTCTAATTTTCTGAAAAACTAATCGATTTTCTTATTGGAAATGTAAAATAGGATTTCAAAACATTCCTATGTGAACAGAAAAATAATTGGTAAAGAACTCGACTAAAGTCTTGGTGAATTATCGCACAAATCTCTCTACTCTACGGCCGAATTCGATCGTATATAATCAAGATTTATGTACAAATATGTATGACAGAGTGAAGATCTGTACTCAAAAACATCAACTGTAAGAGTTCCTTACTTTATTATCTTTGAATCGATTTGCTAGATGTTGTGCCTCATTATCTCCGATTTGATTCTGACTCAAGTGAAGAAGGATAAGTACCGAAACTAAAAAGTTCAAAAGATTATGAAAATTGTGTTCTAATGCTGTTTAAAGTTTTTAATTATGTGACAGAGTACATTTAATTTTCTGTTCAAAAGTCGATAGGTTTGCGGTGAAGACTGAATAACTATGAAAAGGACTTGAGTTCTTCCGAATATTAACCCATGTCGTCAAAATCGCGTAAAAATCGTCGATTTTATCGCGATTTATTAGCCCGATTAATCGTGAGATTATATCACGATTAATCGCCTAGACTGGTGATTTTTGCCGATTTTAGTCCCCGATTTTTCCTGATTTTCTTTGCGATTCTTACATGAAAGCGCGATTATTCAAAATAATATTTCCACCGATCGAACCTGGCCATAGCATTGGGACCTACGACTATGACTAGGTCTCGATCTCGATCTCTATACCATTGTCGCTTACTATCGTACGCATACATGTTTCTCACGAATCGGAGTGTCGGCTTAGCATCATTATTAAATTAATACTAACAGCAATACCTTTGTGTTACGATCATAAGAGAAAAGTATTGAAATTTGTATTGAATGCTGTCATGCTAGCGCGAAGTATCCCTGACTAATTTCAATTCTTTTATGTTCTAGTTTTTTTTCAAAAGCATTGTAACTACTATTGAATTAATGTAATAGTGCATCAATTTAAAAGTAGCTACAATGCTTCTGCATTAAAAATGCCACAAAACAGTATCGAAATTACTCAGGGATACGGCTTTGCTTTAGCATTACATTAATTAAGTAGTATATTTGAACAGGCAGTTTTTTTCTGAAAGTTCGCTTTTTATACATGATGTTAGAACCCGTCGAATTGGTCCGGAGAGGAGAAGGGGTTGATGAATTTGAGAGAGAGAGGGAAATAAAAAAAAACGATTTTTACTCGGACGTGCTTTCTTAATGATTCCTAACAATTTAATTATTATTAGAGAAATGAAAATGCAAGGATTTGATTTAACAACACTGTCATTACCTTATCAAACATTTAATGTTTCTGAAAATTTTGGATTTGGATTGACTAGTAATGATGAATTTTTATTAATCGATCAAAATTCTGATTTAAGTTTATTTGATAAAGATTTGACAATGGTTCGACAATCTACATGGAACTATGGCATTATTCGTGATTTATGTTGGTCATCAGGGTTAGCTTGTTTTATTATAATTACAGAGAAGAGTAAAGCATTTTTAGTTAACGGAAATAATTTATCAATTAATTGTATTGAAGCAATGGAAAATCATTTATGGTTATCATGTACTTGTTCGAATTCATTTTTATATCTAACATCACTTAGCAATGGTATTGTTGAATTCTCTCTTTTGCCATCATTTTCTTATGCGAGACGATGGGATCCTCCAATAACTTGTCAAAAAAAAGAATTTACCAAAGATATTACTTGTAATGAGGACAAAATTACTCTAATAGTTGCACTTTTTTCTGATAAAATAGTACATTTAGCAGTTCGATCATTAGCAACATTTGATCAATGATTTTTGATTCGTCCAGATATAAAATATCTATCATATCAATTGCCAATTCGTTGTTGTCCACTAAAAGATAATGAATGACTCGTTGTCGAAGCAAATACATCACGACTCTTTCATATTGGTAAAGATAGAAAAATGAAAGAAACAGTTACGTATGATCAACCACCTTACAATGCTCTTTTATTCGGTTCAAATATACTTGTTATACGGACTGATACAACGATTAATTTTCATGAAGTTCTACATTGACATTCAAAAAAACAAACAATTCAGTTGAATCAAAGATGTTTTTTTTTGTTTATTATGTATTTAAATGCAAAGACTATACAAACATGGCAAGCTTCTTTTTCCAGTTATAATAAACTTTGTAGTAAAAACTTTTGATTTTATATTTAATTATGAAGGAAAATTATTTCTTATAGCAATAAAATGAAGCGTTATGATAACGAATGTCTCGATCTTACTCTTAGGGAATCTTCATTAAGAATATTCACTTAAAAAGTAGGCGAAGGATCTGTCTCAAAATAAATATACATGTAAGTAGAAAAGAAGATGCTCAATCACTACTACACGTTCAGATACGTTGTATGATAAAGATTTAAAATAGACGAAACAATCGCAATGAAAACATAACTTTATATGTATAATAATATATATTGATCATCTAATTTCAAACCTTTTTATCTTTAGAGCAATCTATTCAAGAATAAGACTGGTGTTTTTGCATTCTTTCATATATGACTCTATTTCTAATAATAAATAATCAATGTACTAATAAATTTGAACTATTTCAATCATGTTAAAGACATAAATTTATCAATGATATTTTTTGCACTAATCAAGGATTTGTTGAGTTATATCGAATTTCAGTCATTCGTAACTATTGATCGTTTTTGATCGTCTTGATAAAATATTTAATATAACCTATTTCAACCAGCATATCGTTGTTGTTCACTGAAGTATGATCGGTAGTTTATTATTCATTCGAATAACTCGTGTCTTTTTCATATCATTAATGATGGAAAAATGAACATTTTACATATGTATAAACCATTAACTTACAATGTCACTCTTCTTGCTTTCTAAATATTTACTGAGAAAATGTTTTTTTTTTGCTTTAAGCTGTTGAAATATATACTCTTTACCATGTAAATGATTTAATTATTCGACAATATTTGATTGAAAATAGAGACGAACAATGTGAGTCGCATAAAACACATTTCTTCTTTTCGATTCCGGTCTAGAGAAAACTATTCGACAATTTATTCGTATCACATCTAAGAAGAAATTCTTCAGTGCTCGTTTTTTTTTATTTATTTTTATTTATTTTCTCGCTGATATGATTTATAAGATAATTCGCGTAAAACTACCGGATATTTGACTAATCTTCAGTTTCGGTTGAGACAAATTTTCAAATTTTGATGTCGTACCTCTCAAATCCTTACACGTCTTAATTGCATCATGTTCTATTAATCATTATTACCATACATAAAATACGTTCTTCTTCATGGTGTCATTCGACAAACTCAAATGTTAAGAAAGAACGTCATATTTATTTTTTTCTTATCTTTCTTTCTATAGAATAAGAAGAAGAAAATCTTTGTTTTTACCGAAGTATATAACACAATATGCTTTTACTCTTTACTACTTTACAATAATATTTATTGAACATTAACAAGAAGAAAAAAAACTTTGATTGTTATTGACATGTCTCAATCATGTACTGTTGAATCATGTGAATCTACATTAGGTATTTCTTGTCATTGCTGTGACAAAACATTTTGTCCAGATCATTTAAATGAACATTATGAATCAATTAATAGTCAGTTGAATCCTTTGGCTAATGAAATCAATACTCTTTATGATCAAATTATGAAAAAAACCAAGGAAAAATTAATTGGCAATTGTCTTAAGAAACTTGATAAATGGCGTGATGAATGTTATCAAACGATAAATTGTTTATATGAAAAAAAACGTCAAGAACTTGAACAAAAATTTGTTCAAAAAACTGATAAACAACAAAAAGAAATCGATCAAATGCAATTAAAAATAACTAAACTTATTCATGAACATGATGGTACACAACAAGATCTTCAATATTTTAAATCAACTATTGAAACAATAAAACATGATATAAAACAAATTCATCAAATATATTTTCATATAAATATTCGTTCATTAGAATTATATGAAAATTTTATTTCAATTGAAGAAAAAAAACTAGATGAAATTGATTTTACAGTTCTTTTATCTCCATACAAAACAATTGATTGTCTAGAATATTATGGTATACATACATCATTTGCTACCAATGATAATTTTCTATTAATACATCAAAATTCAGAATTACAGTTATTTAATAAAGAATTAATAATGATTAAAAATATTTCATGGAAAAATCATGGAGTTTATGATATGTGTTGGTCATCGACAATAAATAGATTTATTGTTCTTGATTATAATAAACAAATTTATCTTATTAACGAAAGTTTAGCATCAGTTGAACAAATTGAATTAAATCCAGAGCAATTCTGGTGGTGTTGTACATGTTCTAATACTTCTCTATATCTCATAGCATCTCATCATCATACAGATATTTTTCAATTTGATCTTCAATCACCTTTTCCATTGATCAAACGATGGAAAACTCTTTCACATTGTAAAGAACGTGATATTATCGTAGATATGACTTATCATAATGAAAAACTTGCTTTAATAATTAATAATCGAAATCAAACCCGTATGGAACTTCGATCATCTATAACATTTGATCGAATTTGGTTTTTACAACTTGATACGAAATATGATATTATTCATCCAATCACTTATTTCTGTTTACTTAATTGTAATGATTGGCTTCTACCAGATTATAAGAATTCTCGTCTTATACATGTTGGTAATGATGGAGAAATAAGATCAATTTCTGCGTATAATCCGTCACCTATCAATGCAATTCTCTTCGGTTCAAACATTCTTGTTATAAAAACTGAAAAAACTTGGAATTTTCATGAAATATAATTCGAATGTCATTTTGTTTTTTATTCAATATTCGTGAAACTGAATAAAATCTAACCGAGAAGTTCTCTAACTACAGTAATTAATCGCTTTCAAGTTGAAACTATGTGCGTCATGTAGATCATAATGAATATATCAAAAAGAGTTCGAGCCCATAGCTTATTGATATTAACATATTACGTTTTTCCCTCCCAAAATATCTAACTTTCTGCCAATTTTTTACAGCTTCGAAAATAAACAGACAATGTCGTTGCAAAGTGAATAGGATTGGAACAGATCGTGTGAATATCGACTTTAAACTATGTATAGAAACAAGCATTAACGAGAATAGTTAAACATGAAACTATTAAGCCGTTTGATTTGTTCCTGTTCTGAAATAAGAACATCGAATCTGCGGGTGTATATAAGCAATGTGAAGAACACACTTTTATCGTTGCTGTGTCTTGAAATAGGAACAACAACAGCAAATCGAAATTCGAAAAATCAGCTTTTCTGATTGAAAAATATGCTGAGAATACAATATGTTGACAGCAATAGGTGATGGATTTGAACTCTTTTCGGAATATTCATAACTCATTAGATTCTATATAATGCACATAGTTCTAACTTAAAAACGATTGATTTATTGGGATATGTCCCTCATAAGTATATTCTATCGTTAATTATATGTTTCGAATAGTTTACGTATTAGTATACAATTTGCTTTATACATTGCAAGCAATATTTCGACATTTGTTTTCTGTTTAGATAGAAATTCTTTTACTGATGCTTTTAAGTGAATTTAATGGAACAAAAATATCGAAATCAGTTTATCTTTTTCAAATAACAATTCTCTTTTAAATCAGAACAATGCTATCGTCGACATTTATCTTAATTTATTTTTCAAATACGCATCATGATTTAATTATGATATTCGTTGATTTTTTTTTCGCGAAAAAACGCAATATTATCAAAGCATACAAACATCAGTTGCCTCTTATAAAATAATTATTTAATCAACATTTTTTTTTCAATAAAATATAATTTATTCTAACTATGCCATATATCTTTGTGAGATTACATATATTTGTTATTCGAGAATTTTTGTCTGAACTTTCCTTGTCTGAATATGTGAACTCGGTGCGAGATTGGTTGATGAAATCAAAAAAATGGTGATCGCTTGTAGGGTATACGATGGTCACGAGTTATTTTTTTTCCTCGTGTCCCGGTCAAACAACGTCTCTAGCCCTTTCTCGTTCTTTCTCTGTTCTTCTCCAGACATGATGATGTCCTTATCGACCAACCCTCGATCAGAGAACATCCAACGGTTACCCGTTCATAAGAGTTTTTTTTTCTTTTTCTTTCTCTTATCATAGTATCGTGACCGTTCGTAAGAGAGAAAGGTCACTACAGTATTTTACGATTACTATTATTTTTTTTCTTCTATATTTTTCTCCTCTCTCTCTCTTTGTTCTATATTTTCTCTTATTTCTTCGTTGACCTGGGTTTGTGTACTTGCTCGGTTCATTCACATTCTTCCTCACCACCATCGACACACATTAAGACCCGTTCACTTTCTCGAACATAAGCTTATAGTCATCATCATCATCATGCCTAGCAAGCCAGGCAAAAAGACTCACTCAGTGAGTTTATATAAAACATTCGTTGATGCTTATATGAAAGCTCACCCTAATGTCAAACGTTCCGTAAGTTTATAATTACTTATTTATCTTTAAAAAGAATTATTTTGAATGATAAAACAAAAAAGAAAATCTGAAATTCCAATATTTGATTGTGATCAAAATCTATTCCTTTGTACAAATGGTTTCATTATAAACGAATATATATTTTAAAATCTTCCATTTAGGTAAGACATCATGATGCTCAAGTTGAATGGAATGAAATAAAATCAAATGAAGAATTAGTTAAAGAAAAAATTGAACAATATTTAGAAATTTATAATCGATTAGGTGCACCAGAAAATGAAGGTCTTGCACGTCCACCATCACCTGTTGAACCACCACGAAAAGATAATCGTGGAAGACCAAAAAAAAATTCTAAAAAGCCTGAAACAACTGCAACATCAAATAAAGAAAATAGTGGTGAGAAAAAAGATGAAGAATGGAATGGATTAGATGATCTTGATGATGATGATGATGAAGAAGAAGAAGAAGAGGAACAAGAAAAAAAGAAAAAAAAGAAAAAAAGTTATTATGTTAAAAAACGTAAATCAACTAATGATGATATTATTGAAGATCCATCGAAAGCAGCTCAAACAACTGCTGGTCCATTAGAACCTTTACCGAAGAAAATTCGACAACCAGCACAAGAACGTGCTTATAAAGAATTAAGTGCCATCAATGAACGTATTGCTTCATTAGTACAAGTTCGGCAAATGGGTTTAGCAACACCAGAAAATAAAAAACAATTAAAACATTTAATTGTTGATAGAAAAAAGAAAGCATATGAACTAAAACGTCTTCAATCTAAACAACGTGCTTCAAATAAATATAGAAATAAACAAAAAAAAATTGTAAAACAAAATAAAAAAAAATTAATTTTAATTTTATTTTTTTTGTTCATTTAGGTTGATAATTTATTAGAATCGAAACCCGAATTAGGTCCACAATTACATAAACTTTATCGTCGTGGTGTTGGTCGACCACGTGTTGAAGAACAATGTCCAGATTTATTACAAATCATTGAAGAAATTGCTAAAGTTGGCGGTGCTAGTGATGATCGACGACGTTCAGAAACAATTCGACCTTGTTTAACATTAGATGATTTACGTGAAAAAATTAAACAACGTGGTTATGATATTAAACGAACAACACTTTACTATCGGTAGGTCAACATTTGTTTTTAATAGCAGAGTTGTCTCTTGTTTTGTGATTGGGCAATGGTGCCCTCGCCACATGCATCACATACGGCGTCAATATAGTACTCTCATCTTCTACTAGTATTCTTCCTAGTGCAAGTGAGGACACTATTTGTCCACTGTTCGTCTAAAACATGAGGGTCGCTAGTGTTTTGACTGTTCCGATAATTTTTCAATTTCAAAAAAAAAGTAAAATTGATTTGATTTTGTTTTAGGCTTTTACCTCATCGTGCATCATCAATTGAAGGTCGTCGACATATTCAAACAGTACCGGTTCGTCTTCGTCGTGCACAAAATGATGAACATGGTAAACATGAAGATGGTCATTTTGCAACAGCAACAATACGTTATATGAAAGATTTAGCATCAATATTTGGAAATGATTGTGTTTTTTATTTATCACAAGATGATAAATGTAAAGTTCCACTTGGTTTACCAGCCGCACGTGTTCAAGCACCAATGTTAATGCATTTGGATTATCGTATACGTTTACCTGATCACGATTGGACAGTTGCACCAAGACATCAATTAACACCAAGTGTTTATGCAGCATGTCTTTTATCTGAAGATGGAGATTTAGGTTATTCAGGACCAACATATATAGCTGTACGTTCAGCTAAACACGATCAATCAAATGCTGATTCACATGCAGTAGATTTTGATCGTCTTGTTAATTTAAAAGAATTTGAAAAAGTTGCACGTGATGAAACAGGACAAGTTAAACCAATTGTTATTGTTACTGTTGATGGTGGTCCTGATGAAAATCCACGTTTTCCTAAAACACTTGTTGCTAGTATTAAAAAATTTAAAAACTATGATTTAGATGCACTTTTCGTTCTTACACATGCGTAAGTTTAATTATTCGAACTTTAAAAAAAAAAATAAAATTTTTCTTTTTCTATTTTTTTAGTCCTGGTCAATCAGCTTATAATATAGTCGAACGTCGTATGGCACCATTATCTCATGATTTAGCTGGTCTTATATTACCACATGATCATTTTGGTTCACATTTAAATGATTCAGGTGTAACAATAAATGTTGATTTAGAAAAATTAAATTTTCGTAAAGCTGGACAAATCTTAGCTGAAACATGGAATCAAACAGTTATTGATGGTTTTGCATGTTTTGCTGAATATATTAATCCACCAGCAACATCCGATGATGAACGCCGTCAAATTGATGTTAAAGTTGTTATGGATGAAATTTTACGACAGTAATTTTTGTTTTTTTTTTACTTAAATGATTTTAAATTTTTTCGTTTTTTTTTCAATAGAGTTTGTGCTGAAGAAGAAACTGAAGAAGGTCATGAATTTCGTGTTAGTGCATCTGAACAATATTATCAAGAGAATGCTCGTCCAGCACGAGAAAAATTTGGTGAATTACCGAAATACGATATTGATGAATATTGGTGTGCAATGCATGTTTTACAAACACAATATACATTACAAATTGTACGTTGTAATTCTGCTGAATGTTGTGGAGCATGGCGTTCAAATTATATTGAAGTATTTCCACATCGATTTTTACCATCACCTGTACCATTTGAACGTACCCCATATGGTATACGTATGGCTGAAAAAGATTATCAAAAAGGACAATTTTATGGTTCATTATTTCAACGTATACAATTTCATGGTGTTGTTATTGAAAATACACAAGTAAATAATGAAGATTTTTTTTTTTTGAAAAAAGAAAATAATTTTTTTATTAAAATATTGTTTTAGAATGAAATGTTACCATTTGATTTTTGTTGTTCATCAGTTAAAAAAGAACTTCGAAAACGTACATGTAAAATATGTAATCAATATATTCCATCAGCTTATCGAATGAAAAATCATTATCGAATTCATGCACAACATTATGAAGATTTTGATCATGAACAAGATGATACATTACCACAAACATTAACAACAAATGATACAACTAATTCAAATGATAATCAACCAACAACAGCACCACCTGTATTTAAAGCTGAAATGTTAGATTGGCTTCGTTCAGATTTTGATGATTTTGATTTGGGTCCAGCACCAACACAACTTGGAAGTGATCGTGTTACACGTTCAATGAAAAAATTATGTGTTGCAGAAAAAACAGAAGAAGAAGAAAACAATCAAGATTGGGTACATGTCGAATAATTTATTTGTTCTAAATATATCTACAAGAAAAAATAACAAACAAACATTTAGTAGTGAACTTTTTTTCTTTTTTATATATTATTTCAGTTTAGCACTTTTCTCTTGCTTTTTTTTGTAATTTATGTTTTTTTTGTAGTCTTTTCTTTTTTGTAGTCTTTTTCTTTTGAACACATTTTGTTTGATGTTGTTTTTTTCTTTTCTTTTTTTTTGTTGTCGTCATTTTTTTGCACAAAGAATTTTTTTGTTGATAAAAGAATATAAGTGTTTTTAAATAAATATATGACTACACATTTTCATAATGAAAATTATAGATTTTTTTTTTATTCAAAACATAAGAATCAATAAAAACAAAAATGAATTGATGGATTCGCTTGTTCTTCGTTTATTTGAATCTTCTATTCAGTTGTTTATTTTCCTATGAGATTGCTTTATTTAGAAACTTATTAACAAAGTGTCTTTTAATCAATGAAGTTTTTCGAGAATAGCCTTGTTTTGGAGGAATGAGAAACCTTGTTCAATATGCGGAGATTGTTCATAAAAAAGAATTTATCTTCGAGTATTTATTCAACTTGAATTACACAGAGTTGATGTTATAGCAGGAAGTAGTCATTTTCGAGAAGGATTTTGAGAGAAAGTGAGACTATTTTGACGAATACCAACAGCTTTTTCATGAGACAAAAATGCTCTATGATATTCACCGATGCTTCAATATGTCAGACTATGATCAATACTGTTGTAATCAACAATAAGAATATTTTGATTTAGAGAAAGATGTTTTTCTCGCATTTTCAATACTTTTTTATTTATAAGATGCAAAGACTTCTGAATATTTTGCCATCATCAAATATAGCATTTCGATGCTGTTTATACAGTGCTTTCGAATATGCTCACACCCTATAGATCGTTTAAAATAGAATTTATTTGTATAAATCTATGAAAATTTTTCTGTCGAATTGCAAAACTCTCTAGAAATTTCATTGATCACAATTATAGTAAAATGTTCTTTCGATAGAGAAAGATCATTTAAGTTATTCGTCCAACAACATTTATGAATAGTTTCAATTGCATTCATACTCTATGAGATCGAATATTTGGCACAGATCTAAGTAAAACTGCTGAATGTAAAATAATGAATTAGCTCAAGTTGTGGCTTTCTTAATCTTCATCTTTAGTCTTGAATCTATCCTTCAATTCCTCTTTCACTATCACATGCTCACCTACAATCTCACTGTCACTATTATATACTCTTTCAGCAAATGACAATAAATGATACAAATTCTTTAATTTTAAGTTCTTAGATTTTATTCTCATTGTAATAAGAATACATGGATGATTGATGAAAGTACATGAATGAAAGACAATATAAATTGTATTTTTACTCTTACGTATTCATATGACATTGTTTGATTTTACATAAGAAAATTGTGTAGGCATTGAAATGTACAAACTTTAAATTCTTATTAAAAACTCGTGTTAAACAATAGTGTACTAAGTTTAAAAGTTTAAAGTACCTGGCTATGAAATTTCTTGAATTATGAATAGATAAAAATGAAATTGTCCTATTATATACAAAGTAAACTTTCATTAGATGAAGTATTTACCGAAGAACAAATATTAAAATTATTATTTCTTCGAAGTTCCATATCAAGAAAAAATGTCAATTAGCATCTGGATATCACGATTTCTTTTTACAACTTATTCTCATCAAATGGACATTTATAAGTATAAAAACTTTGAATATGGCTATTTTTCATTCTTCTAGTCTCAACCAAAGTGAAATTTGCATCTTAGATATACTTATGAGATTAAAAGATTGTGTTTGTACTATACTGAAATGATTCTCTTTGAGAAAATAGAGAGAAAGATAGAATATCATTAAACATACAACAATATCAATCTCTATTCTATTTGACTCTTGATATCATTTTATATTTATCATTAATATGATTAAATACAGATTGGTAGTCACTGGCAGACTCTTTCTGAGAACATACTCTACAAAAAATCTAGTCAAAACAACCATGTTGAGATTTTTGACCTAAGATAACACCAAAATGTTTTATGTGAGTAAAGAAATTATATTTTTGACTTTTGACGGAACTAGAGATAAAATTTCATAGTAATTCAAACGATGTATCTTAAATATATTGGAACGATTTTTGTAGCACTTCTTTGTTTAATCTTGTTACCTGTAAAGACAATTCTCTTCATTCAGATGGTCTATATTTCTGCTGAACAACGAAAACTCTATCTTCTCCAATGTTGCACGTTTTTCACTCAATCACCGATATATAGCCGTGGAATGACGATCAGAAGATAGCCGATCGTTTACCGGTGGTTTCTGTCCGGTTCGAATCACACACGTTTTATTTCAAAATGGTTTTGTTACGAGTTATTTAAGATTATGAAAAAAAAAATAACCATTAATGACTAATTCAATCTAATTAAAATTATGTTAATAATCTCATCTATGATAACTGCTGTTATGATAAAGATCTTTATTTTTGCCGAAATTCATAGTTATTTCATAAAATATGAGTAGCTTTAAATCCTCGAAGTCAATGCAAATATGAAATTATAGATGATGTCTTATCTTCCATTTGACGGTGACATTCATTTCCAAGTTCATATTCCAATGGCTCAGTTTTGATAACAAAGACACCATAAGTAGAAATAAGAAATACGTTGCATATGTCAAATTATCGTTTCGTTTTGCTGCATGTTGCTTTCTTTCTGCTTTAGATTCTTATCTAGTACTAATCGTTGTACTCATATTTCTTTGAGAAAAAAAGTTCCTCTCAAGTTCCCTAATTACATGCATAAGTCCAAAAACATTTTTTTTTCTATATCGTAATCTGACTTTGAAGCTATGAAATTCTTCATTACATCTTAGTACTCATATAAAACTTCTGAATATGTGATTCTTTTGATTATTGCATAAATCTTCGTAACATAAAATTTGAATATTTTCTTCTGCTGTTAATAAAGTATTACTTCAAGTAGATTGAAATGATTTTAAGAAATTTAATAACTACTACCATTCGTACATCTATGTTTAATTAAGTCACAATTAAAAGTACGATTGTTATATGTATGGCATGATTATACCACTTCTTGCTATTTTCTGCTTCGAAATGACGTTTAGATGTGATAAACAATAATTTTTGACAACGCATACTAGTTTAAACGACAAAATGTCGTTTCCTGTACTATCTGAGTATCCTCGGTATAAGGTTGAATTTAATGGATCTATTTTATAATTGAGTTTCAAAATGTTTTTTTTTTACATTTGTCATTTCTTTTTGTATATCTTATTCAACTAAATTCATGTGTTAAATTCGAACTCATCATCATTAAATTTGCATGGAAATGATGACAACAATAACTTTGCTATATAATTCTCGACATTTAACAGTGACATAATATATTAGTTCATATTCATGCAGTGTCATAAAATAAATCTCAGAGACTAATCACAATTGACTTGTTTCTTTTTTCATTTTGTAGGAAATATTTTCACGTATATACAGATAATCTTATTTTCGCAGCGGGAACATTTATTTTCTATCCATGATAATCGATTGTAGTCTGTAACTTGCCTTCATAGTTTTTTTCGAATACTCAGAATTCATTTATAATGAAACTATCATTATATACACATACTCTTTCATTGTGAAAAAATAACAAATATGTTTGATTATAATCTGACTAATTTAGAACTATGAATAAACCTTGTAATAGTAATGAGATATGATATATTAGTGTTGTCTATCATTTTGATTTTGTCTGTGTAACATATGTATTTTTATAATAAGATATTTGGGTACTTTTATAGTGAGTATCATGTGTTTAGCATTTCTTGCATTAGATTAACTTTTACCAGATGAAAAACTTTTAAAAAAACTATTTACATATCTTTATACAATAAGTAGCTTGACAGTTACAATAACTCTTCATAATATTTTGTGAAGTGGATGAAAATATGACATACAATACAAAGTATTTTTATTGTGGGAAAATAATAGCCCATCACAGGTTTTTCGATTAATTTCTATGGACCTAACTTTCACACTACATATTGTAATATTTCTTCTCATTAGTTATTTACAAAGGAATATGGTCAACAAATATAGTCGTCTCTTGATGTCGATAGAAAAAAAAAACGAATTTAATGATAAAAACATGACTTCATGATGTTTTATCTCGAATGTTGTCATCTATGAGAAGGTTTATATTTAAACAATATAAATGTTCTTATCATCTGTTAATAAGTATCACCTTATTCTTATTTTTCTAAAGTCATTCTAAAACAACAATGATGAAGATATTTTTTATTTTTTTTGCTGCTGTTTTTTTACCAATCTGCACTTCTCGTTGTCAGTTTGGCTGTACATGTTACGATGACAGTATTTGCGAATATTATTGTTACAATTATCAATGCCATCAAGAAATTCCTTTATGGCAAAAATGTTCTGGTTATTATATTCATCCACGAGAATGTGGTAGTGTATCCTATTGTGATCCGAATTCGAATTACACTTGCCAAATTCAAAAAAGCAATGGTGAACGATGTCAATATAGTTATTCGTGTTTATCTGACTATTGTGATTATGATACAAAGAGATGTCAATTCAAAAACACAGCTACCAATTGGTTACTTCCTGTTGTACTGCCAAGTATAATAGTTTTTACATTGTTGATGATTTTCTTTATACTGATCGTTGTACGCATACAGAGACGACGAGCAGCACTTGCATATTATCAATGTCCTTATGTTGTTTTACCACCGGATACTAGTTATTCGTATCAAAATTCTTCCGTCGTAACAGAATCGTCACCACCACCTTATCCTGGTGCAATATCGCCACCGTTGCCAAAAACATATCAAAACTGNTGCACCCTTTAATATCTTCATTTGCATCATTAGCTATATTTTCATAATTTTCACGTGATCGTATATTACATAATGTCGCTGGACACGTAAGTTGTCGCTAATTTACGGAAAAAACTTTCGCAGTTTTTTTAATTTAAAAAAAACGTATAACTCTGCCGATGTCTAGTGTGAACAGGAAACAGAGTAAAAACGTTGCTTTAAATCTGTCTATTATTTATGAAAATTAGAATATGTATGTTTACTCTATACAGTCCTATTCACATACAATGCTTAGACCAGTATTATCCAAATAATTTACACTGACCTCCTAAAGAAATAAAAGAGTACAAAAAAACCTGTCGTTTATTGCTTGATATGAATCTGTATAGCATATTCAGGGCTATTTCGAGCGAGAAAGATGATCCATCTTCTCGCCCTTTCCTCCCAATCTTGGAAAATTTTCTTTTTTTCTTCAAAGAGATTGAATCATTTTCTTTGTTGTTTTTGCTCACCAATACCCACAATAAGAAGTGATCCCTGTCCAATATATTGAGTCCTATCTTTTCAGTAGTCGCTGTCCCTCACAACCTTGGTGAACTCAAGATATCTCTGTACGTGTTAAAAGCAAGGATTGTGTTTGAGTTGTATATGTATAATATCGAGTCACGCATTAAAAGGTAGAATTATTTTAGTCATATGCATAGATTTCTCTATGAACGGCAACCACTAAAATACAAATTGTTAAATAATCAAAAAGAGGTAAAAAAAACTAAAAACCAAGCATGTTCGTTAATAAATATTAAAAGAAATTTCATTTATTATTCAATGAAAAGACCGTCTAGTTTCTCTTCATTGACATAAAAATTAAAGACTGAATCGTCACTTTTGATTCAACTGAATAAAAAAACACATTGAAGAAAAGTTGAAGCACTCTTATCGAACTGCATTGATTTACCTTTGTGCGTCGATTTGTTACAGTTGTCTGGCTAACCAATTTATTCTTAATATTTCAGCGCAAGTTAAGCGGCCTCAATGCAACTAAAGCTCAGAGAAAAAAGGATTTATGTTAATTTTCTTTCTCCGGATACTAAAACAAAACTTGATCCGAGAAGGATTTGTTGTTTCTGTGGAAGGAAAACAAAAAGAGACGATTAATAACGGCGATCTCTCCAAAAGTACAATCATAACTAAAACTCAACCTACGGCTCGTTTTGTTTCGACTACCAATGTATTTAAAAGAAAAGTACAAATGATAAAAGAAAAAAAAAACTACTAAATAAAAAGTGAAAGATACATGAAAATTTTTGAAAAATAGTATTAGATATGCATTTTTTTTTCTTAGTTTGTTGTTCAATTTTAGTCAGAATAATTTTAAACAATGGTCGATCCACCATCGAGAACAAGATTAGCACCAGTCATAAATGCACATAAATCAGAAGCCAAGAATATAAATAAATTAGCAACTTCTTCTGGTTGACATACTCGTTGTAAACATTTACCTTTGATAACTTCATCTAATTGATTTTTAGGAATTCCTACAGACTCTCCAATTGCGTATGTTGTAGGAGTATTGATTCCGCTTGGACTAACAGAATTGACTCGAATATTAAATGAACCTAAATCAAGAGCAAGATTTCGTGTTAATTGAATAATAGCACATTTTGTTGCTGAATATGGAATCCAATTAGGCGAAGCAACTAATCCAGATACACTAGCCATATTTACAATTGATCCACTATTTTGCTTTTTCAATATAGGTGCAATATGTTTAGCCATTAAAGCATAGCCACGTACATTAACGTCAAATACATGTGACCAATCTTCCGCTGATACTTGTTCGACATTACCCAACACATATGTGGCGGCACTAATAAAAACTCATCTTCTTTTGAAATATATTCTATAAAAGACAAACTTACGTATTAAGTAGAACATGAATTGTTTTCCATTTGTCTAATGTTGCTTGAACAGCTTGTTGAATACTTGTCTCATTAGTTACATCAAGTTTTACAACAAGTATTCGATCTTCTTTATTATTTTCATTTTCGAGAATTTCATCTTTGATTTTATTTGTTTTTTCCGGATCTAAATCACCTAAAACTAGACTGGCCCCATGAGCATAACACGCACGAGCAATATATCGAGCAACTGATCCAGCTGCACCAGTCAAAAACACAACTTTATCAGCTAACAGTTTATTCCAATTAGATATAGTCGACGACGTCATTGTTCAGATATTTACTTGTTTATTTACGTCTCAATAATTAACGTATAAAATGTCGTAGATAACCTTGAATAGTTTGTCATAAAAAGAAAAATAGGCCACGGTTTAACTAACACATGATACGTAAATGATGCAGAACGAAAATATAAAGGCTTTTATAAAAGCCATTCTTCTATTTAAATCTTTAGATTTTTTCTATTCAATGATTTAGTTGAAAATAAATTCACAGAATTTAATATAATAGAATGCAACTCAATATCAAAGATTTTCATACATTTAAAAACACCAAACGAATATTTATGTTCAATGAATTAAAATCGAAATAAATAATCAAGATATATGACATTCATTATAATGTAAAGATGCACAATCATATGTTTACTTTATTTCTATTGATTTCTTGTCAATATTTTTCTTGTTAGGCAATCATACTGAATAGAATATTGAGGATATGGTTTAATTGCTTTTTTAAATTAACAAAAATCTGTATTACAAAACATAGAATTCATTCGAAATAAACTAGCTTCAATTGAACATACAGAAAAAATTTTTAAAATAAGTCATTGATATTTTCAATATATTTTTAATTAGAAAAATTTCGAATAGAAATTAAATAATATATTTTTATTTATGCATAATAATAACAAAATAGGTTCGTACTTTTTTGATGTCCTTCAACTTTAATACTAAGATAAAATTCTTCATTAAAAGCTTTTAATATAGATAATTTAATGATTTTATATAATTAAATTACCATCATCAACAACTAAATTACAATCAGTCATAACTTGACACAGATCAGATATTATAAAAACGATTAAATTAGCAATATCTTGTGGTTGGCCGATACGCTTCAAGCAACTTCCTTGAAAACACATATCATTCATTTGTTCTATTGTCATATTGTTTATTTTAGCAAATTCATCACGTCCAGGTGAATCAATAGAGTCTGAACTAATAGTATTGACGTGAATATTAAATGAGCCTAAATCAAGAGCAAGATTTCGTGTTAATTGAATAATAGCACACTTTGTTGCTGAATCTGGAACAGCATTGGGAATAGCAATTAAACCTAAACTACTGGCTATATTCATAGTTGATCCACTATCTTGTTTTTCAAATATAGGTGCAATATGTTTAGCCATCACAGCATAAGCACATACATTAACGTCAAATACATGAGACCAACTTTCATCTGATATTTATTCAATATTACCCACAGTTGCAATTGCCACACTGAAAAAAGATGAGAACTGTTTTTGAAAACACCTCTTTTACCCGAAAACTTACGAATTGAGAAGAACATGGGCTGTTGTCCATTTGTCTAGTGTTGTTTGAACAGCTTGTTGGATACTTGTTTCATTGGTCACGTCAAGTTTTACAACAAGTATTCGATTATCTGCCTTATTCTTGTTATTAACTATTTCATCTTTGAGTTTATTTGTTTTTTCCGGATCTAAATCACCTAAAACAAAACAAGCTCCATAAGCATAACATGTCTTCACTATAGCTTTTGCAAGATGTCCAACACCACCAGTTATGAATATAACTTTATTGATAAGCAGTTGACACCAATCACCTGAAATTCTTGACATTATCACAATATTTATTATTGTATATTTTCTTTTATATGCTTGATGGTATAATGGTAAAATATGAAAAGAAAGATAAATATAGATTATTTCTATATGCGTCATTGATCTATTTAATGTATTATGAAAAATAATTAACTTGATAAAATGCATATTAGTAAGCGATTCTATTTCATACGTACGTTAGTTCCAACTTTAACTTTCATTAAAGTACAAACAACTCATATGATATTTATTTTAAATAATAGAACTATATCATTAAAAGGACATTGATAGTTTTTTTCGATATTCATCGTAATCTAGTTGGAAATTCAGTCTCTGATTGTGTGTTTAATTATTGATCGTATGTTTTATTGAGATAAGCATTAAATTTTGACTAATCTATTATCATTTACAAATTTTGTCTTATCAATATTGAAAAAAATATTTTATTAGTTGACTGGTTTTTTTCTTTGCTTATCGACAGCTAATATATATTTCTATCAAATTAGTAGTATCAATTGACCGAGAAACAATTTTGTTAACATAGCTTTGATTTATTGAATTATATTTATTTAATTTTGAAAAAATATTTTCTTTTTGTATCTTCTAAATAATTCAATTTAGTTTTCAAATTCTTCTGTTATCTGATGTTAATCTAGAATTTTTTGTTTCATGTAAATCTATTTCTATTTCCATGTTCGATTAAGATATGTTGGTTCATGCTCAGAGATTGTGAAATTATTTATGGAATTATGCAAAAATTTTTATTTCAAAATCTGACCGAATGATTCTTTTATAATAAAAACTATATTCATCATCTTAAATGTTCATTCTTATATTGTTCGTGTTTCATTTTAAATTTAATTAAGAAAAAGATATTTGTACTAATCAAAAGATAAGAAAGGATCCTGCTGAATTTCGGTGATGCACCTCGAATCAAGAAAACATATGTGTATTCTTGTAAAAAAACTCGTGATGTATCGAATGATTAATAAGAAATCAAGGTCTCTTCCATTTTTGATATGCTGAGGATGCAAACACCAGTTATTATAATTGAGGGATCAAATATGATACTCATAAATATTATGTTTTCTACGATGTTGTAAGATAAACTTATAAAATTATTTTTAATAATCATTTCAGTACAATTTCTGATGTTCTTTAATTTTCTCTATTCAACGATTTTCGTCAATGTTTTCTTCATACCTAAAAATGGCTGATTCCCATTGGTCTAAGCGTTTTTCTTGACTGTATATCATTGCTGTGTGTTCAATTTTGTGTCATAGAACAAATGATTACCAGAACTTTAAGTAAGAATCCTAGTGAAAATATTCATCAACCGAGTGCAACTGGCCAGCACGAGTACTCAAGTTACTCGTTCAAGTACTCGAGAAATTGTATGTGTAGTTATAATTTTTGTGTACTTGAGCGTGTACTCACGTGAGTTATTTCTCTAAAATTTACTCGCAGATGATAGTATGAGTACTCAAAATTTGAATGAATGACTAGATTTAACGAACAGAACAATGACTTTTCATTTTCAACTGTTCATTTTTCGACTAAGATTAAATACCTGTTTAGATATACAAACGATAATTCGTTGAATTTCATTTTCTAAGTTTTAGATGAAACGTCCTTATAGATTAATAAATCATGTTTCGAATTAATAAATAAAATTAATGAAACAGATGATAAATAATAATTTTTCATACAGATCGCTCCGATTTTAATATTCTGAAGGTGCGCGCATCATACTAAAAACACTAAATATTTTATTCATTTTTCTATGTAACGGGTGGCCCATAAAGAATGGCGGTGTCAGTATTTCGTGAATATCTCCCTCAATTTTCATTGCCCAGGCTTTAACCTTTATCTAAAAGACGCTCCATTCAATTCTCTACAAAATTATATGAAAAGAAACTCTTCCGATGAATAGCTGAGAAATCATATCTGGTCAACACTGCAATGCTCCAAAGAAGCCCACTTTCAAATCACTGTTTTTCGTTTTTACAATGTTGCGTCGCTCTTTGACCAGATTTTAAAAAACCTGAATACGCCACTTTGTAGCATATGAGAAGCTCTATCAGTCAAGAGAATAATTTTTTTGACATACTCTGAATGCGTCTCAACAAAACCTTTCTTTTGTTCACCTAATTCTTGTTTTGAGGATTGCTAATTTAAGCTCACCGCAATTTTGATTTTGTTACATCAAGTTTCAAATCAAGACATATTCAGATTTACTGCCAAATTGAAGGAAAATGTTTTCTCTATCATTTGAATAGAAGCGGGCTGTCGCAAAGATCTTTTCTGCAATGCCTGACGTCTATCAGGCAAATGACAAATGTTCCCAACTCGTCTTTCAAGAAGATTAGCCTTTAGAACTTCATAATCTTATCAAAGCATCTTTTTCTCAGCTCTGTTAGAAAGAGTACACATAAAAACATAGGAAACTTCCATTAGAACGACTTGACATCTGTTTAGCCAGCAGACGAGAAATAATTAGTTGTGTAAAAAAAGCGCATTTGAAAGTGGGTCTCTTTAGAGCACCGTAGTGTTGACAGGATATGATTTCTCAGCTATTCATCGAAAGAGTTTCTTTTCATACAGCTTTGTAGAGAATTGAATGGCGCGTCTTTTAAATAAAGGTTGAAGCCTGGGCAATGAAAATTGAGGGAGATATTCACGAAATACTGACACCGCCATTCTTTATGGGCCACCCGTTATTACTAAATGAAATTTAGTTATGAATTTAATGTTTCGTTTTTTTGTGTTTTTGTAATGTTCTGTATATTTGTATTTATTGTTATCGCATGTCTTGATTTCGAGAATAATTTTATACCTTGTGTAATACGTGTTTTTATGCGCTGTATTTTTTTAAAGATAAAAATTCTATAACTGTACTCTATTAAAAAAAATAAAAAACAATGTAGCATCTTCATTTCTTCAATGTTCATACTGTGCACTTGTGCTTCATTGCTAATTGCTTAATGAAACAAAAAAAATATAGTATAACAATACTGAACACAACATGTGTATGAATATTTTACAAAAAACCTACCGAAGTACTCAAATTCCATGAGTATCTCCATTAGGGAAGCGAATAACTGCCATGAACAACATCGTATTGAACTAGTCAATGACAAATTATTTAATTCAAACTTTTACTTCTCTTTGGAAACGTCATCATGAATGATTTATTTTTTCATTCAAAACTAACAAAGATACTAATGACAATAAATACAAGAGGAACTTTTTATAATAAATAATTAATCATAATTAGCAACATCTTTTCAAAGAAGAGCAGATGTTAGTAATTATGTTTAATTTGTTAATTTTAAAATGACTTTGTATTTATTGTTATTAATATCTTTGTTAGTTTTGAATGAAAAAATAAAACATTCATGATGTTGTTTTCAGAGAAGAACAAAAATTTGAACTAAATAATTTGTCATTGTCTGGTTCAATAAAATATTGTTCATGACGCTTATTCGCTTCTTACCTAAACTTCTACTATCTGCTGCTAAAATTAATCTCTTCCAGAGCAGTCGAAACTCTTTATCAAACTATAAAATTGTTCGATAAAATGATATATTTTTTCTGTATGGCGAAATCAGTATAGTCACAATATTTTAACAATATCGAACGATGCCAACAAAAATTTGTATAAAATGAGAATTAGCACAAGATCTGTGATTAATTGATGTGAATAAATCCTTTGACAGGAAAAAAACCTCTTTTTTGGTCTTCGAATCTCTAGATGAAAGTAAGGGAATGCGGAAAAATTTAGTTTTTGAATCGAACATTAATTATTTATAGATTCTTTTAGAGTTCTATAGACACAAATCAAATTTGAATATTCGGAATCTAAATTTGAAAAAGATATAATAATATAACATACTACCTTGCTACAAGCTTATATTTGTGCCTCCTCTCCAAGAAATATCGTGAGTATGCCGATCCCTCCATACAATAAAATAAGCTATTTAACGGAACAATCTTCCAATCTGATGATAAGACCCTACTATTTCGGAAGATATTAATTATGAAATATATTAAGTTCGATAGTGTGTAGTTCTTGAGGAAGTTTCAAGTTGATAATTAGTTCTTTAATGGTACACGATTCAACACACAGTCACATGAATAGTCTAGGCCCAAAGCTACTGGCCATTTTTAGGTATGAAGAGAGCATTGATGAAAATCATTGACTTGAGAAAATTAAAGAACATCTACAATTGTACCGAAATGATTATTAAAACAATTTCATAGATTTATCTTACAAAATCATAGGAAATATAGTACCTATGAGTATCATATTCTATCCTTCAAATATAATAACCAATGGTTGAACCCTCAATATATCGAAATTCGAGGAAAACTCTGATTTTTTAAATATCATTTGATGCGCCACAAGTGGTTTTACAATAACATATATATGATTTCTTGATTCGAGATAGATCATAAAAACTGGCAGAGTCTTTTATTCATCTTATTATTTATTTTATTAATTTAATAGGAATACACAACGATATTAACATAATTTAGTTTCGAGTCCTTAGTGAATATTGACTCTATAGTTTGTTGGATAAACTTGATTATTTTCTAAATGATGATCACAATTTTTACATCGAATTATATTTTTAACTTCTTGACGAAAATTTGGTGTTGAAAGAAAAAAAACATAGAAACTTAATACTTCATCTGTAAAAAATAAAATAATTGATGTATAATTAAAAACACGAGCATACGATGATAATTTTTGAGTAAAATCAATAAAAAAAGCTGAATAAATATTTTCCATAGAATAGGGAATTGATGCGATTAATATAGTTATACATAATAATAAAATCATTCGTGATAATTGTTTATCACTATTTAAATTTCGTCGATAATTTATTTGTTGAGTCATTTTTAATTGTTTATATATTAATCGAGCGAATATTGAAAGAAAACAGATTGAAAAAATTCCATGAAAAAATATTTGAAAAACACCTAAATAATAATATAAATATATTCTTGAAGAAATTCTACAATAACCACCTTGTGAAACTTCATAATAAATTATAATTGGAATACTATGTAATGCAAATAAACAAATGATTGATAGAATTATTTTTTTTGTTGTATGTCTTTTTGTACTTAATCTTCGTAAACGAACTTCTCGTGATGATATTACATATCGATCCAATGTAGCTAAACAAACACATGTTAATGATATAAGATCACTTGTATGTAATACATAATAGTATAATTTACATATTAAAAGTACATTGTCTGTTGTTTTTGGATATTGGAAACCATCGAATATAATATTAATCAAAAGTGGACAGAGAATTTGAATTAAATTGGCACAAGATGATGTTAGTAAATACAGAGGACTATTATTTGTTCGATTAATAAGAATATTTCTATTGGCTCTTTTTCCTGAACGCGACCATATTGTAAAAACACAAATATTTAATACATTCCCAATTAAACCTAATATATATAAATTAATACCAAGAATAATTATGATTTTATCAGTAAGGTCACCAATTTCATCCATGGTAACGTTTGTTACGTTTGTATGTGTTGATTCGTTCATAATTTAAACAGAAATAATTTCTATTAAGATACTTTTTCTAATAAACAATCTGCCATAGAAATTCTGTTTTACATAATTTTGATAGAATAATAGAAAATGTAGATTGTTTAAAAAAAAAAACGTCATTGCATACTATAAGTATAAGATGAGTAATTGAAATAGTGAACATAATCGCAGAGCGTTATGCTATTAAAAATTATTCAACTGAAAGAATTAAATAAATTAATTAGTAAAATAATGGATTTACTTAAGTTCAAATTTTAATGATGTTACATCACAATACAAAGAACATCGAGCACAATTTTTACTCTTGAAATTTTTCGTTTAGGATAGATTTGTGAACATATAAAAATAGAGATTTCAATAGTTCTGTGAGATGCGAACTTTTTTTTTCGAGGACAAATATTTTTGGTTTTTTATTACAAAAAATTTTTCTTCAACGGAGAAAAAGTTTGACATATTTAAATATTCAACAATAACTGGAAACTGTTTTATATGTGATTTAGTACAAAATTTGCCGGGTTACATTTTGATATAAAAACACTTTGAAAAAACTTCAATTTTATTATTAATTTCTAAGGATTCCATAAAGAATGGTATCAAAAGAATATAAAAAGCTACTTAGTTATTGTTTCAAAATAGATTATCTTAATAGAATTTTTAAAATGAATGTGATGTTCATTATCTTTAAAAAAAAAGAAATTCAACTGTAAAACAAAATTATAAATTTGTAAAACTACCGCTACTTTTAAAAGTAGAATTTTCTCTTATATAAACAAGTACCTGCTTATTTATAAAAGCAAATTCTACTCTTAAAAGCAGTTAGTTTTCTATAATTTATAACTTCTTTACATAATTGAATTATCATTTTTAAAGATAATGAACATCATATCCACTTAAAACTGATATTTGACATGATGAAATATTCTTCTTTTATTTTATTAATTAATAATAATTACTTTAATAAACAAAAAAAAAAAAAAAAAACTTGATAACATATCGTATTATCAATGAAATACTTTATAAGACATTAACATTCAAACCAATGACTTAACATACAAGTGCAAGTCGAGCCAATTAAGAACAAAGAAACTAAATTATTTTCACCTTTTCTTTTGCAGACATTCTTTGATAATGATGCGCAAAAGAATTAGTATCCTATTTAGGTATAACTAATTACTGTTTTGTTTTTTTTCGTATTATTATCAAATAATGACTAAAAAAAAAAGAAAATAGTTTGATTTTTTTGTTTTTAATTTGTTCTGTTTTCACTTTTATGTTAATCATTTTTTTTGGATGTTGACCTTTAAATAGGGAATTTGTATTTTTAATAAAATGTAGTCCGATAAATTCTGCTCCTTAATCATAATAAACTATACAATTTTCAATTACTACTGAATAGTGAAAAATATTGCCTGACTTCTAAAAATATTCGTATCTCAACTTGGTACATTGCTCAGAGAACTATCAAAATCACTATTTGTATATTCTTCAGTAAATTGTTCTGAACGATGAATCTGAAATATAGAACAGTGTACTCAATCGTTTTCTTTTCTACTTTATGTGACTTCTGTAAAACTCACTTATATTTTCTTCGGAAATAGTCATATAAATTTATAAGTCGAAGTTTTACTGCGCCTGCCTCCCTATTGCAGACATCGGCAACCGAAACTGAACGTACTGAACGACATTAATAATGAGATTTAGAAGGTTTTACGACATATTCGAAACCCTTCTTGAAATGTAAATGGCAAGTATACGTTTTTCAATATTCTAAATAACACAGTTTCTGATATTTACGCAAATAAACGATTACATTCAAGATATCAAGGACTATATTTTGACTTCCCACAACTGTCACATAACCAACACGAAAGTATGAACAGATTAAGTTCTAACTTTCGGGAATAATTAATATTAAAATTTCTGAGTTCAATGAGGTGCATAATAGATTGTTAAAATCTTCTGTAGATATAGCCTATGTGTACAATGTGCTTATTTTTCATTAAATCAATGGTTAGACTAATAATTATACATTATGAAAATGAAGTAAAAACAAGAGAAAATAAAATTTCTGTTCGAAATAGAGAAACACAGAAAAACAGAGCATTTGTTGATAGTTGATTATTGTTAGAGAAGAACTATCGTCTTATAGAAGGCTTACGCTTTGTGTATTTTGTATTAGTAAAATGAAGCTAAACAAGGTATGTGAGTTCCACATTTCAACCTTCATGAGGCTGCACTAACGAGGGAACATCGCCAACTGTCCAATCGCTTTTTAAATAAAACCTACTGGGTTCTAGGTTATCGACTATGCTGATTCCGAATATGGGCACGAGAAATGCCCTTAGGTCTTTATAGGGTGGTTTTCTAGAAAACTAGATCTCCAGAAAACTAATTTAAACTAAATTTTTGTTTTTGACCTACTCAGATTATAGAGCACATTGAGTTGTCTATAAATCAATAGTTTTTTCTGTTTTGCAAGGATAGTCTTGAATAAACAACATTAAACTTTCCTATTTGTACAGTGAAATGCTAGTAATATGCATCTACT